CATTATTTACAGAGTTAAGCAATAATGCCATCAAAGCAGGAACATAACAGGATGAGCTGAATTCTAGGAAACTCTCAGGGGTAATGGAGGCTTGGGAGTGCGTTGATGGTAAATTGGAAGCTCGAAGGAACTAATGAAGTATGACAGCAAAGAGTGATCCTAAGCACACGTATCATGTTTATTTTTTGGCTTCGAACCTCGTCTACATATGAGGGACAAGGTGTTGATGAGTTCTACAAGTTTGCAAGGCAAGGCCATCTATCTAGTGTTGAGATCTCGTAGATTCTCTTCCCTCCGATCTAGCTTCTTTGAAATGGCACTCTATTCCTGGGCTGCCAAAACTAGAGGAAACATCAGGATGTCGATTCTAGTCTCATTTGAAGAGGTAGAAGAAGCAATGGTGGGAGCCAGAATAGAAATTCACTTTTGTTACGCCATTGTCTTCTTAACCGTGGTCAAATAATACTCCGGGAGAAATCGGTACGAAAAATAAGATTGAAAGCTATTGAATATTCACTTTTTGACTCATGAAGGATAGCTTTGAATATTGCTATGGATTCACTAGATGAAGATCATCATTGCGTAGCAGAGGGGCAGTGTTAGATCATTTTACAAGTGTGTTCCACTAGTGTCAACGGTTGGGACTAGTTATTAGATCGAGTAAAATCTTCCGATATGCAAGTCATAGATTGCGTGAAGGTACCACTGGTGCCGTATTGCATGCAATGTATCATTTTCATCGTTAGTGTGAGTAATATGTGTGCTCGCAATGGGTTAAGACTCACTTTTTGTCGATCAAGCCAGATGGGAAAGTGAATATTGAATGGTAAATGGGTGGTATGAACCATTATGTCTATCTAAAGTCTGAATTATGGTTAGCTTGAACCTTGTCCATTCGTACGATTCACTAGAAAAGCTGAAGGCCGAACCTGTCTGCTGAACTGGTCATGGAAGGCTTAGTGGGCGTAGTAAATCTTTTGGCAGCTGTCATATTCACTATAGGTTGATTCCTTAGCGTGGTGATCTACTTGACAGATTTCAGTTCTCTTACCTATATATAGACTCCGTTTCCTCGTTCCTTTTCAAAATTTTCTTCTTCTTCTCCTTCGTAGGGCGATTTGGATTCAACCAGCCATCTCTTGGATTCAGCGCCTTGGCCGTTCAAACATTTTGTTCCTTTCATTGAATCATCACCTTTTGATGTCGGCGCCTTGCTGTTCAAGCATCTTTGTTCTTTCTATTGAATCATCGCCCATTGTTTTCAGCGCCCTATCTGCGCAACCATTTTTGCTCCATTCGTCGAATCTTCCACCTTGACTTTCGCGCCTTACCCGTTCAAGTCATCTCGTCCCTTCATTAGATCGAGGCTATCAACTCTGGATCATTTCCTGCTATTCTGATTGATCTCCCTTCGGGGAGATTGAAATGATGAATAGCGGTACTTGGTTCGGGACCTTTAGCCTTGGCTAATGATCGGGTAAGATCATTTGGACCGCTAAGCCGGAACTCAAGGGGGATAATTCGAGCATCGAGCAGGATGCTTGCGTGAGGATACGGGCTGTCCTCAAGCGCGGTGCTTCAGTAGATTGAGCAAGATGCTTGAGCGGCGAGAGCGGGGCGTCAAGAGGTGATGATTCATTGAATCGACTAAAGTGTTTCGGCGGCTTTGGCGGGGGATCAAGCGGTGGTGGGTTGAAAAGACAGTCGCCTAGGCCAAGGCTGCCAGCTCTTCACTCTGCCGTTGCTGTCTTTTGACTTCGCTCCCTTCGGGGGGCGAGGGATGATAAAGAACAGCATCGGGGGGTGCAAGTCCGGCGGCCTTGTCCCGTAACTCTGGCCCAAGCCAGTATCCCTGTACCTTTTGTTGCTGTCTTTTGACTTCGTCCCCTTCGGGGGTCGAGGAATGATAAAGAACAGGAACATAAGGGGAGGGGTGCTGGCTTGGGCCAGAGTTGCGTTAGGTCGATTTCATCGTTCTTTAGGCTGAGCTTTGATGATTTCCAATCTTCCGGTGTCCTTCGGGGGATCGGGGTGAGGGGGTTACATTGGACAGCCTAGGGATCGCTGAAGTTGATCCGTAACTTGGGCTAAGTCCATTGCTGTCTGACACTCTCTACGATCTTCTAATCTGGTCATTCTCTTCGGGGGATGGTTGGTGTAGAAGCGGCGAGAGGGTGATTGAAGAGCGGTGGGCTTGGCTCGAGTTGCGTTAGGTTGATTTACTGATAATAGGTTTCAAAGATCCAGGTCCCAAAGGGAATACAACGTTCAATTTATATTATCTGAAAAGGTTTTGTCTTCAAATCTACCACAGTGTAACAATATTCATGACTGTCAACCAGTGTCTAATTCAATAAATCATGCCCACAGTCCTTAGGTTTCGTTCAACCTCTCTGGTCTCCTATCCTTGTCGCATACGTCTTTTCTGCCCTTTCCAATTTCCCAATAATCATCTAAAAGATGGCCATTGCATTCGGGGGTGAAGAAACTCCCCCTGGCATATTCAACGGCATAGATGTTAGGAAGAACGAATATCGATTTAGTTCGCGACAGGTACGAGACAAGGCCTCAAGATCGAATATTTCACCTATGTTGGTAACAAGTTAGCAGGCATGATTGTTAAGCTAATCGATTTCGAGTTGCGCGCCAGTTCTCTCTCTATATGGAATACAAAGCCAGGCGTATGAAAGCGAATGAAAATTGAACACAAATCGAAAATCACAGAGAACTTAGAACCCAAGGTGAAATACTTACCAATTGGCATTCCCCATCCTCCGAGCAGATATTCATGACAGCTAAGCTCTCCTTGTGTGGGATACACCTCCCAGCTTATAGCATCGCCTGCCACAGCTGAGATCCCACTATCCCATAACCACTCTAATAACTCCAAACTAGGTTTGACACCAGCATGTTCAGGAGTACTTTGTGATGCATATTCTTGTTTTTGGGAATCGGTGAAGCTATCCCATTCAGGAATTAGACCCATGCGGATAAAGAGAATATCACCACGTTGAGGGGTTATGTTTTGATCCGCGAGAATCTTGATGAGCGTTTTGAACGGGATGTTGTGCAGAGAAAAGTTGGTGTACTTGATGGGTGGAGATTGTTGGGTGCACCAGTAAGCGTAATCGATTAAAATACCGCGGCCTAGAAGCGATTGAGAGTAAGTATCATGAAGATGCGAGATGAAATGGTGGAAGGGGAAGTGTGAAGACAAACCGGCTATTCCTTCAGATGCCCAGTGTTGGAGCCCGATACGGTGATTCGATGTATCCATAATCTCATCTTTCGTAGTGCCGCCATAGAATACTCGGTCTTGTGATGTAGAGGGGTCGGAAGTATTTCGTGGCTGGGAGTAGTGACGAAATCCATCCCATTGGCTGCTTTGTTCTTGTGTTATAGGTCAGCCAATGCTTGTATGATATTCAAAATATGTAAAGTCTTAAAATTGGGATTCAAAGCTGTAGTTTTATGTGTCTTGTGGAGGTGTGACTTGATTTTGTCATAATCTCAACCGGCAGAACTCGAGGTAAATATACTAGGTAGCGACAAATTGTGGGTTTTACCTGCCTCTTTCAGATGGATACTTACCCATCATCTAATTGAGAAGCTATCATCAAGAGATATCCGATTGATAACTTTGTGAAGACATGCTAAAGACATCCAAACTAACAAGAAGTATTGCCATAACCTACGGGGATTCATATGATAAACATCATCAAAACATGCTCCATATCCACTCCCACCTGGTCCATTCAGTGGAATAATCTTATGACCACATTTTTGTCGTCCAAATTGGGAATACTCCAATTTTGTCATGTCCCATCCGAGACCTACTCTTCTACCGGTCTTGATCTCTGAAGTCGCCGCCGAAGAGACTATTCCGGGTGTGAGGAGGGATAGGCGACCTATGGTATTTGTCAGGTGATTTATAGTTCAGAAAGGTAAAGATACCCTTACCTATCCCTTCAAGAGCAGATCCAGGCTCCCCTATCCATACTCGTTTGGGGTTTGCTAATTTTGAGAAAGGGGTATCGTAGATTGAGGGGTCGTAACGCGGGGTAGTAGAATCCTTCTCGGCCATGGTCGGAATATCAATAAGAAATATCGGGTTTCTACGAGTTTCTATTACTGAAAGATGCCCTAAATCTTATCTTGAAGTCAAGAAAGAATCACACAATCTAAAAAACAAAGGTTTTTCCAGTTGCTAAATATATATATATTGAATCTCTGGGGAACATCACGTGTAATATCCCCCACCTCGTCCAACCTTCGGAAACTCGGTATAGTGATGTCCGCCAATCATCGTCCAAGTACATGTTTGGGGTTTCATACATATCACAACGTCTGAAGAGTATGCGGAATATCCAGTGGCAAATATAAAACCCTTCTGTTGTGGCAAGCGCCAGAATTCGAGTGAGAGTTATAGTACTTACTTGGACATCAGTACAGAATGTTTTGTTTTGCCAGTATCCGTCGGTATCATGTTCTTCCGGCGAGCTCCTTGATCTTTCTCTTGGTATTACTTAGACATATTGAATAGCCATTATAAAGCAAGTAATTCGCGAGAGGTGTAATACAGTTCACGGGCTCGCGGCCTATAGGACACGGGTGTGCTTGTGTTTATGTCCTGGAAGTATTTGGCAAGAAGATTGTATGCGTGGATGAGTTGTGCGAGGGTCTAATAATAATGAATCTTGAAATCTTGTGTACAGGTTCTGCATACAATCAGTTAGTGCTGTGAATGCTCAAAAAAAATATTCACTCAAATCAAATAACGCTATTTCAGCAATGTATATTGACTTTTGATATAATTGACTCAGACGTTAAGTCTGAGGAAACTAAACTAAAGGTACATCTGCAATTATTTTCGTAATATCAACGTTTATTCAAAAGGCCTTTGTTATCATACCAGCATATCCAGCCCCGAGATCCATTCCCTGATCCTAACATTGAAAGTTTGCTTTAGTCGCCAATTTAGAGTTTCCTTATCGTCCGTTCTAATCCCGCCCCATCCTATATTGACCTAGATGCAGACCCAATCTTGCGTACTTTGCAATCTCTTCCGGTGTGTAGTCTGACTCTTTGGGTGCATTTGAGCGTCTTCGCTGAAAGAGGTCCATCATTCTTGCCTATATGAATTCAGTTAGCATGACCGAAAGTTTTTGATGTAGGGTATGGTCTTATGTACCTTTGAGGTGTTGTTCTCACGTTTGTATTTCTCAACTCGTTCCTCGAAACCTAGATTTACACCTATCAACTCCTCAAAGGAAACCACAGCTTGAGTCACCAACTCAGTCAATTCCTCTGGATGCCTTCCTTGTTTAAGCTTCAACTCGTGAACGCCCAAGATAACTTTGTCTCTTGCTCTATCCATGTATTGCACGTGTACATCATGAGGGGTCTTGATATACGCTGACATGCTGTCGCCGTATCTCTTAGCATAGATTTTGATATTTTCCAGCTGCTCGCGGAACGATTTGAGTATCTCCTTTTCACGTTCGAGCCTCATTTTCTGGCGTTGACGGTACTCAGCTTCACTCATTGTACGTTCATCCATCGTGAATTTGGAGTAGGGATGCAGTGTAGGATTTGTTCGACAACCCGATGCAGAATTTTGAAGAAGTGAGCGGTAAGAGCCGTTTGTTGAATATGATATTAATGGTTGTTACAATGGTTCTCCACAAGGCTGATGTCTATGAAGACAGACAGATATGAAAGCCGACAGGATTTGAGATTAACTCGTGTAATTCGATATTGTTTCTTGGATTCTTTGGTGTAGGGAGCCTTGTGCGTAAAAAAGATATTCTAATACATATGTCTTGTTATGTGGGAAGTGAAATTTCTGGTTTGTTGCTTGACATGTTGCAGGAGTCCAAATGGGAAAAGTTCAAGCTATTTGTGCCCATTCCTCGATGTGTGTTTGAGCTAGTAAATACTTTGAATGACTACAATATAGTTGACTGAATCATGATCACACCACTTTCTATTATCGTATATGACTCGAAATTATGGTCAACTCAAGGCATTTTCCTTTGCAGATTAGATCGCCCTGACATTTGTGACACTTGAAGAACTATCATGAGTAGGCTATCGCTATGTGAGACACGACTAGCAGAAGTCCAAAGATCCGTGAGTAAGTAATTAATTGGTGATCAAGATGCTATTTTTCTTTGTCGCTGAAGTCGTTTCTTGGAACCGAAAGTTTATGGGGATGTTATTCACCGCTGCCCACAAGATTGTACTCACTTTGAGCATTTCTATCAAATTTCAGACCTAAACAAAAAGATACACCAGTCTTTACAGAATCTATATCCTCACAGCACAACATACATATATCATACTGTATTCAATCTACAAGATGTTTACCCATTCTTCTATTCCTGTCATTACCATAAATGGTGTAGACCTCTCACATAGCCTTGAGGTATCTTGATTGCAAACACGACAAGCAGCCAAGAAGCAATCAAGGATGGAGTTTATTCATGTCCCGACACGCTACAGAGTGACGCTTCAGCTGTAGCACCTACAAAAAAGCGCTGTTATGTTCTCAGAAAAGTCATAAGAGGCACATCAAAGGTGATCAAAGCCTTCACCAGTACGTATAATCTCCTCCGTAAGATCTGTGATTAAAGGATAGGGGCTGATCTGCCTTTCAAAACTCCTACAGGAGTTTAAGAATCATATCCCAGTGGTACCTGCAAATTCGGAAGAATGAGAGGAGAGCATAGTATTGGGATCTTAGTGTGATTCCCCTATACTATTATCCGAATCATGCATAATATGAAGATGTGCCGGCCCAGTCCTAGTTGGGTGTTGACGTCTGAGGGTACACAGGCAGGGTTTGATCGTGTTGGTCATTAGACATGAGAACACGATCTCTTTCACACTCTGAGGAGATATAAATGGTGTCTTCAGCTTGGAAATGTTAGAGTCACAATACAAATGACGAGGCAATATGAATCAACGAGATCTTAAGACTTGTCGAATAGCATTTTCTGACTACTCCTGACTGTTCACTTTGTATCATACAGTTCATCATTCACGTAGCGTTTTATGATTCTCTGAAACATATAATGGTCCCAGACTTGTCCAGATTTGCATCTTCCTTTTTTTCAAAGTTTGATTTTTCTCGCACTCCGCAACATAATCCAACGATTTCAAAGAACTTCTGTACTTCATACTTTCAAAACACCAACCCAAGTCGTTCGACCCAAGCCATCCATCACAGCAAAGCTTTCTCTGAACTTTTCACATCGCATCACCACCATCATTCCTGCTTCATACAATACCTGGTTCAACAGCTGTAGGTTCAACCCGCAATTATCCCACTAAGTCACACCGTTAACCGAGTAGCCAAAGGAATATGGACTCCAGAGATGTCTACAAACGGATGCGATCTATTCTTGAATTTGAGCTCGATAAAAGAATATCCTTGCTCAAAGAGAAAGTTCGTGATCGAGATCTCCGCATTGAAGCCATCACCGCTCTCCGGAATCTATACACACTTCGCATTGCCAGTATATATGTCGACGGAGCTACACACAACTTTGCATCAGAAGTTTTAACTCGGAAAGACATCGACAATATTCATAGGGATATTTTGAACATCCAACACATACCTCATCCATTTTTGAATGATGTTTATGACATCGTTTGCACTCCCGAGGCAAATATTTGTGAAGTTATCTCATACTTTTTCAGAGGGGGGGCCATTGCACCCGCTTTGTTGAATAAGATAGTCAAAGATGTTTCTCAAGCAAACATTGCTTGGCAAATTGTTCGTCTTGACGCTCTCTTAGGAGGGGTTCGAACCCGTTTGTCTGAGGAATGGGAGAGGATCAACTCTAGGCTGCGTATTGGTATAGCAGTTTAGCGCACAAATGGAGAGACTGGAATTGGCAATGAGGTTAGTAAGTAACCTAGGGCTTAGACTGAACGTTACTGCTTGATACCCTCTCCGTAGTTCTGGAATTGAATAGTGCACGTTGTTAGCTGAGAAAATAAGTACAGTAGGCCCGGTACTGATGGGCTGGGATACTTTCAATTGGAGGTTTAATAATCGATTTTGGGCAAAATTATGCATGGCTCTGATAGTTCTTGACATACAAATGAAAATGAATCTAAACATCACCAAGTAGAATCTTTTATCGCAGTGAATGCATCTTATTGTACCATTGTATTGTCACTCAGTAGAAAGCTTGACTGGATTCAAGCGTTTCGCGATGAACACTCACGGCGTAGCCAATTTAGAGTCATAAATGATTCTTGAGAGCGTTCATACCATGACTGAAAGTAAAATTAATCTGACATAATTTCCTTTACCTTTTCCACAAAATCCTTTGCTTCCTCCCTTCTCGCTCCTGTTCTACGACAAGATTCAAAGAACCCAAGCACCGAACGTCACAACTTGCACAACTTGAGAAAATTTTCAGATCCAGGTCAACACAGTCGAGCCAAACACTGCCAAGTATTATGATATACCCTTGGTTAAAATAGAGGTTGTCGCTAAGTACATCAAACAGATCCAGATAGCTATTTACATATCTTCACCTTGTCGAATAGTGAAGCTTAATACACACTTAAGTTAATCTTCTCCCCTAGTGTCCTTGGTAAGATTTGCTCTTTAGGAATGTTTTTAGCTTATCTAATTGTTAATCCAGAACGACCTCAAAATGAAGATAAATCAGGCCATGAGAGCCTCTAAGGCGTCGGCTGAGGCGTCGGAAGGCATCAAGAGCGAGATAAAAAGGTTGGAGAGGAGGGCAGCGGAGCTTGAGGAAAATAAAAAGCTTCTGGAGATGAGAACTCCAAATAACAAAAAGGAGATTACTAAATTGAAAGATGACAAGCCGAAAGATCAGGCTGAAATTGCAGCTTTGCAGAAAGAAAAGGCCAATGGATGGGTGGAAAAAAGGTCTAATTAGGACAAAACAATGATATGGTAAGCTCATAGCAGCGGTCTAAGTCCATTTACTAACTACAAATAAAGAGATCCAACAACATCATTCGGTAGATACTATCACGGGTGCTGGATGCTTAGCTTGGAATGGGAGGGTTGACGCTCAATACAGAAAGAACTGCCTCACTTTTGGATATCTATCCTTCAATACCTAGTGTAATAGAAATAAAATCCTCCATGAAAAATGACATCCCATTATGCAATCTTACGGTGCAACATTAATATGGCCTTTCAATGCTTTCTCGGATATCCAACATCGACTGCTCTGATATTAAGACATATTGAGTGAACCTATCACGGGATCACTATCCAAAGTGCAAAGTTGTATCCTTATTCCAATACCACCCGAAAGCTCAAACTTCCAGCCCCCGTACTGACAAGATTTTTACCCAGGAGGGGAAAATTTCGATTCAAACTTAGATTATTCACAGGAAGGGACATACTCTCGGAAACTCAAAGATTTTTTGGTCAAGAAACATCAGGATCTGGTGAGGTATATGGTAGGAATTAATGGCTTTGATCCAAAAGCAACGGTATGGCAACTATGACGGAAAGCGGAGGTCTTGAATGATTCTAAAGCACTCGTGTGGTCCTATAACTCCTCATCGATGACCAAGCATCATATTGAGCAAAGAAATTCCGAAATAAAAGATTCGACGGAGCAGCCAAACTTTCAAATGGAGAACTCGGATTCCATAACTCTACAACCAACTATCAGCTCTGATAATGCTCAAAATAATGAATTTAATTCTTCAAGTTAAAAGCCATGTTTCACTCATGCAAGAATATTTCACACATAGAATTCCACTGGACAATATGTTTCGGGGTGGCGGGCTATATGTGACCAAGTGTATGAGTTGCTACATTTTACACAGCTTCGGTTTAACTTTGATATAATCACTACCTCAAACACATACCCAGTATTTATTTTGTCCTGATTTTGTTCAACATGGAACAAACTTATACGCTCCCAGAACGTTTACGAAAGCATGTGTCAAGTTTGTGAGTTGATTTAACCTTTGTGATGTACATCCGGAGTCATTCGTACCTGCCATGTTTGTATTTTTGAAATCCCAATCTTCATTTTGGAGTCGACCTACCCTTTCAACAATTTTTACGGCACCATCATCTCATTTCTCTAGACACCTTCAAAAGAACTCTGCTGGCAATTTATTTGGGAGAAGTTTCCTATATTCTGGTGCTCTTTTCTATCACGCTTGTCACGCTCCATAAGTTTTGACAACTAAAGCACTCCAAGGAATTGCACAAACTTAAGCAAGTGAGAGGAATTCCGAGATAAGCGGCGAGGAATCGAATATTCAACTCTTTTCATCAGCAACGAGGACACTGGCACAAAGGCTGGGGCTAGATCATTCGAAGAATAGTACAAACTCAGGCGTCCAAGGAGTTCAATGACCGGCGGCGGATAGTTTAGTTCTCTCTTGGGCACAGTCAGCGAAACTCGAAGCGTTCGAATGATAGCAGAAACCTGGGCTCTCGGAGACCTCGAAAACAGACGGCGGACAATTCTCAAAGATTTCTATACTTCAGTCTTCTTTTCGACCAGATTGGCTTGATTCAACTACTTCTCAATCGCACAATGTCGAGCATCGAAGAACAGATCAACGATGAATACCGCGTCGCACATCTGCTGTGCGCAGCAATCAATTCGCAACTGGAGCTCGAGAAAGCCACGGAAAAATTGATTAAAAACGTGTATAAAGATTTAAGAAGAATGGAAGCTGCTGGTTGCTCAAGTGAAGATTGGAACGTAATGTTTGACATTGCGCAGCAATTAGTTGATACTTTTGGAATGTTGACTGTTGATGAGAGTCACATATCCACGATTGAGGAGAGAGAGGCCGTTGTCGAAGTCGAGAAAGAAGTCATAGATGGAAAGCAGCCGGAGGAAGATATTGAAGAATACCTCGAAGTATTATTGAAGGAGATACATCCCAATTTGGATCAGATTAGGGCTGCTGCTAGCTTAGAGAAGCAGGAACTACACGATGTATTTGGTTTGGCAAAGCAAATTCCCGAGTCTCTTAAGTTTACGTTTGACGGGAAAGTGAAAAAAGCAACTATTGAGGAAAAGGAGGACGATAGAGTAAAGAAGAATAAAAAGAAGAATAGGAAGGGGGGAACGAGAAAACATAAGAGAAATAGAGGAGCTTCATGTCTCTCGATGAAGAAGTGAGGGTTCCTAGAACCGTCTCCTCTCATTCTGTACTATGATATTGAAGATGGAAGTTCAACATATCGAAAGGTTTCTCGACTTTAGCTACTTTGACGGGAGGCTTGCATAATTTTACGGTCTCTATTTGTGCAAAGTTATGCAAAGTTGCAGCGATATATTGGACTTCTATCCCGCTCGCTTCAAAGTGTTGAGCTTATTTTCGATTTAAGTTTATGATTATTATTGTATACTGTGTACGAAGAGCAGACCGTCAATTGTGAGAAGAGTGGGGATTTTTAGATTACAAAAAGTAGATCCCGAAAGAACTAGAATTACTTAGCATGGGAGCATTTGCTAGAAATGCTTTATGTATACGATGGTGCGAATTATTGTTACATCGCGATGTTCTTGGTGATTTCGGAGGACGTTCATTTGCACATGCACTTTCACTCTAGTTAAACCTAGCAATTCGAGTCCAATTCAATTGAATTTTGTTTTGCGTGGTCATTTTTACCATCAAGATATATTTGTAGTGGTGTAAATCTCGCATATCACTCACATTGTGGTGTTATATTCATCAATTCACTAAAATCAACCTACTTTGTGAGTCAACCGAGTATCCCTATTTCTAGGGGCTCCTAATCACCTTGAATTTCCTACTTTCCTCTCACGAATGAACAACGAAACAAACACTTTTGTTTTTATTACTTATTTGATTGTATTACGGAACCTAAGATCAGAAAATCTTTCATCAACTTAACTTATCATGGAGCCAAATCACACGAAATCTACCACTAATACGCCGTTTGTCGATCTCGGACTTCTCATGGGGATCAATCATCAAATTGAAGCCGAAAACACTGAAGAACGGTACAGAGATTACAAAATGTGCAGAGAACGCATAGATAGCATGATTCCACCTATGACTAGCTCTGGAGAAACAACCGTGGCTACACTTGAGGGATCGGAAGACGAAAGGCTGTCTTCGGAGACACTGTCTGACACGGAAGAGACATCAGAGGATATTCAAGAAACTCGAGCTGAAACTAAGAAGAGGAGACGCCAGGAATTACTCGATAATCATGATGCAGAATCGTACGAGCTCGTCGTGGATGACCTTCTTGAGAGTCAGATTAGACATTACGCGGTGCTGCAGCGATGTGGGTTGGTTCCCGTGCAAGCAAAAGAAGATACACATTATAAGGAGGATACTTGGAGTGGGACTAGCGAAGGTTGGAATTTACTCAAACTTGTGTTGTTCTGGTCTTCCACTAATGCTCGGTCTCTAATTACTAGAATCAGACCCTACGCCAAGATATAGAGATCCTATTTCCAATCTACCCATTTCACAATTTTCGACTAAGAGCAAGAATCCTAAATTATCCCATGGCGAAAATAACGTGAGCGCAATTGGGTAAGTCGTTGCTGGCACTACCCGTCCATTCATACGAATGTTGTAAGGAGATCTCGCTAATGATCATGTAGAAAGAGTGGGCCTGGCGTCACAAAGAAAGGTCACGTTGCCAAGAAACGGGCAATCATCAGTAAGTATTCCACGGAGCATTCGAGAAGTTGCCAGTTGCCAGTTGCTAATCAATTTTTAAGACAAGAAGGACATGTTCGAGTTGATGTTTAAGGGACCGGAGCATTGTTCTAGAGCTTAGTATGAGAGAGATATGCGTGGAGGTCTGGATGGGGTTTTAGTGGGGGTTCTTATGACGTCGAAGATACACATCAGAATTTTAGAATTCAAAGGCACAACAATAATTGGAATAAGGTTTGGAGGTACGTTTTGGAGCCGAAGACTTCAATTTTATCAGTAACATCGCCAAGGATAACAACCGAGTTAGTAGTCATCAGTATAGGAAGCAGGCTTTCTTTCCGGAGATATTTTTATTAGTCTAAAAAAGCACATCTTTATTCAACTACTATTGCTTTCATTATAACCACACATATTTGCTATACTTCATAATCTTCGGGTGCACTTACACGAAGACTAATATTTCAATGAGCCTGTCATCCAGGCTGCTTCTTTGAGACAAGTCCTCCACAGAGGGTCAACATCTTGATTTGGTGCTGTTCTCTGAATTTCTGGGTGAGAAGATGTGAAACCAAGCAACAATGCTGAATTTCCGCGCACGGTGTATCAACAACAAAGACAGGCAGAGCAGGAAGTTTCTAGAAGTAAGACCAGTCTCTGCAAATCTGGAAGCTGGATTCTCATCTGTCATCGAAACATTCATTCGAAATATATGTCTATCAAGGTCTGGACCATTCTTAGAAGGTGACTCAAACGACTAAAGTCAATCAAAGAATTTTATGTTTGTATGAATATATATCGGGGCTCTGCTCGCAATAATGTTGCTAGAAATACACTTTCAACTTTCATTTCCCATTATGGCCGAAGATTTGAAACCAAGATACTCCGAAACTACAAAATGGGCAGATGAAAAATCTATAGAGAGAAACCCCAGAAGAAAATCTACAGCGCTGCGTAGCCCCTGCCGAGGTCGGAACACAATGCTTAGAAACTCTTCCATTATCTCCGGTTCAGCTGCGCAGCCACAGACCTTTCATTCAGGAATGATAGCGAAAGGTCGAACATCCAGATTTGTGGAAGAACTTAGCAGCGATGAGAACTTACCGAGCTTGGTAAAGAATACGGGGGCTGCCAAGACGTTTGATGAAATGCCACTGCCTCCTGGGAAAGTAAGGTCGGCAACTGCATGCGAGGAGCAGACGAAAGTGAGCGATTCTTGTGAAGCAGATTTCAGCAGACACTACTGACACTTTCTCACAGGTTGAGGAAGCTGAATGCTGGTTTAGGAAATGTGGGCTGATGTAGATTGTCGAGTGGAGTACTGATGTTATCACGAAGTATTGGTGAAAGTGAGACTGCCGATGCTACCAGGTTCTGGCATCTGCATCCCTCGGAACTTCAAACTTGGTGTTTGTTGCTTTCTTGTAGGCTTCTATAAGAATATGAGCAATGTTCCCCAAATATCATGAACATGATATCGCTAGGAGTAAATAGATATCCTGAGAAGAACGATGACATCCCTTTGATATGTGTGAGAAATTTCTAACGTTTAGGGCTTTTAACATGGGAACCTGAATTTTGCTAATCTTCAGGAAAAAATGGCAATCTCGGGTGTAGGTTCATGAGATAAATCAAGCAGTGACTGGGTTTAGATCTGTGTCGACTACAATACCACCAGACTAATGATTTTGTGTCAGGGCTAAAACTTCGAATAATTCGCCTGCTGAATAATGAATTGACTGCAAATTTCTCCAGAATCTAGCATTTTTTGGCCTCTGTATAAGACTCAAAGGGGAATGTTTGAGTACATGTCCACTTTGATAATGCCAAAACAAAACACTGCTTCAAAACTCCTAGCTCTCGCTACCACGGGATACTTTTCATAGTTTTGAGTGAATGGCTATCCCCGCATATCATTTGGTGGCTGAAATTTTATTTGAGGGTCATTTCCACTCTATTGTGAATGTCCCATGCCAGTCATGAGATTCATTCGCAGCACTAGCACATTGAATAGGTATCTATAAAGCTTGCCACATGTTTCCTGGGCAGATAAGTCCCTCACGAAGAAACACAAGACTATTTAAGCACCTGCCAGCTTAACAAATACCGGAAAAATATATCCAGCAATACTACCTCATATCAAAGTAAGTCTATAACTAGGCAATAGAAGTTAAACAGCCTGCTCACCATTTTTACAGTATTCCAAATCGAAACAACGCCATGCCTGAAAAAGAATCCAAAACTTTGCCGAAGATTAACATTTCTTCGGCGTGGGTTCTACTACAGAAGGTGTCAACACTCGTTAATAATCTTTCGAAGTCCCAAGAAGAAGCCCAACTGTCCAGAAATACAGACTCGCAGGCAATCGAGAAGTTGAAGAATAAGGTCAAATCACTTGAAACCGAATTGAAGGGAGCCAATCAAGACTTTGAAAGACGGATCAGGCAGCTCGAGAGTGTGATTTATCGTTCGAAGTGACCCCCACCGAGCTCCACGTGCGAGTGGTCAAGACTGGAGTTCTGCAGGCTGAGCGGATCAACGACAACTTCGGAACGTGAGGAGCTTGAATGCTTTGACAGTCGATTGGGAGATTTTGGAAACAATCACGATTGTGTTACTACTTAGGGGAATAAGCAATCGAGGTCCAATGTATCATGATGGCGTGCTTGTGTATGAATTGGTAACTCAACGTACAGGAAACCTTTGGTGAGCATTGTATTTGGGAAGGATCGAACGTACAGAACTACATAGAGGCGAACTCATTATGTTTCATAGAAAGGATCGCATAACTGGGCTGCAGCCTAGATTGTTCGACTTTGGTCAAGGACGGATTGCCATTTCATAGAAGTCCCATCGACCTAGAATCATGAGTTAATGGAACAACTGAAATATACATTTTCCAATGAAACAACGTGTATTATCAGGCATTTCTCATCCTCCAGCCTCCACGTTCACTTAGCATGATTTATCAAGTGACTTTGTATATTCAGAATTTCATGGACAACTTTTGGACGGCTTTGAGATTATTCAGAGTATACTTTGTGGATTATGTTTTGGAAGAATAAACTGTCGATATTGAATGTACAATTACATGCAATAATTGAGCTCAAAGTTTGGAAATGAGAATAAAAAGTACGCCATCATTTTTCTGATCTTCCCGTCACCAAACGGCCACTGTGTATGTGCAAGCTGATCAGAAACTGCTCAATGATGCTCTTGAAAGTTCATTACCCACAGCGAGTGAATTTACTCTGCCCATAAATCGCCAAGATACATAATTTCAAACATTCTAGTACTTAATTATACAAATTAGCAGGCATTCATGATCATCTGCCGTAAAGGGGGTAAAAATTCTCTTTGAGCACCCAAACTTAAACAAAGAACACCAACCACCATATCAAGGCCCAATTCCCACAGTCGAACTGGAATTAAACAATCACACCAGTAAGCATAGTACCACAAGCATCTTACCAATTTACCAACCACCAACTCCTTCCTATTTCATCTTTCGATTCAAGAATCATCATCATGCCTGAAAAGGGACGTTTCGCAAGTGCCACAGATGAACAATTGAAAGATGTCAAGTGGTTGAGGGCCCATTTCAAAGAACTTCAACAAGCCCAGGAAAGACTCGATATTGCAGAGAAAACCATCCTTGAACTACAGACGTCAGTCAAAGAGCTTTCTGAAAGCGTCAAGAAGCTTGAATCATAGATAGAACTACTCTTTGTAAGTATCTCCCCTAAAAAGCCAAATCAAGATGCGTCTCCAAATTCTCACAGGTTCCGTAGGCTAATCGATGGTAAAGACTGAAGGTAGTCCATTTGACTGCATGACAGGCTTGATTGGTGGAATTTGTATCTTGGAGAAAAATGGGCTGGTTGAGTCGGGCTGCTAAAATGAAGACCGAATTTCTTAGGGTTATTCTTGTGCTGGGTCCACCAGGTCGTCATTTTAAAGAGATTATTTGGGCTCAAGAATCAGGAGCTAGCAAGATATAGAATGGAATGGTATAGCGCGAATCTCAGACACAGTCAACAAAAATCGCACGCTGTGAGGTCTTAGCAATGCCACACCAGTTCACGTTTACTTACATATTTCTGCTTTGGCATTGGAATGGCTAGATTCATTGTGTGGATGAGAAACAAAAGCCAATATATCTTCGCAAACCAATACTAAGAAAAGTCTTCCGAATCACTCTCTTGTTCAAGAACAATTCAACCCTCTAGCAACGAAAAATCCGAAACGTTCGCAACAGAACTACATTCCGAAGTCAAGATGTCCTCCGCCGCCGAACATTTCCAAGGTCAGCCCACTGAAAATGCGCGGGAGAAAAGCGAACGCCAGAAAGTGTCGGACGTAAAGCAATGCCTACAAAATAGTCTTAGAAGAGAAGACGAGAAAGTAGCCAAAATGGTATGTCGACCATACCCCCTACTGACAAGTAGTAGTTGCTGATAAATGACAAAGACAGCGAGAGACGAGCGAACTGGCTCTAGCTCTGGCTTCAAAATGCCAACAAATATCTCAAGATCAAAAGAGCCCGACGCTAAATTAATTGCTTTTTAGATTGAGCGGTAAGTCTATACAACAATCTTATATCGTACTTGGCCATCTAGCCCACTTCCATCACTTGAAGCAAGGAGCCAGCACGCGCATTTTTTGATCATTATCGTTGGTTCAGTATCAGGTGTTCGGGTAGGAGCGGATAGCCGGTTCTTAAATTACAGATATTGGATTTCGCATCGATAAATTCGACCACAAAATGCCAGTATAAACATTTGTTGGTCTATTCATTGGTTTGGAGGTTCAATGCTCTGGTACGAGTGGGTAACCTGGTCATTAGCTCATCGACATTGGATGTTGGTGTTCTATCACATAAATAATCTACCACATAAAGAAGAAAAACCCGGTATGAAATGCCTTTTGATTTAATGTATAAATCTATCCTCATGTGCGCCCCGTTCCAGTAAGCCCACAATGATATATGCCATGCTCCAGTATTCCAATATCTACATCTCCCTACCACGTCATCTCATTTCTTTATGCACTATCTACCCCCAAGTCTTAAGTGCCTTCATGCTTCCCTCTTGGTCAAATGCCTTGTGCATGTCGAAGCTGTTCCACAATAAATGGGGTTCGTGACCCCAGCCTCTTCTCATGCATTCGAACTCGGCCTTTCTGAAGTAGTCTTCCAAGATTGGCTTATAATCTGGATGAGAGCACTTTTCAATGATGACCTTGGCTCGCTCTTTTGGACTTAATCCTCGGACATCGGCAAGACCTTGTTCAGTAACGATAACATCCAAATCATGCTCGGTTTGATCGACGTGCGTGCACATAGGAACGATGCAAGAAACACCGTGAGCATCAGTCTTGGATGGTCTAGTAGATGGTGTGTGCATGATACTGTATTTAGAAGAACGGAGGAAATCAGCTGAGCCACCGAGGCCGTTCAACATGCGGGAGCCCATGACATTTGTGCTGTTTGCATGAGCGTAGATATCGACCTCAACTGGTGTGTTCATTCCGATAACTCCCAATCTTCTGATGATTTCGGGGGAGTTAGAGACTTGCTGTGAGCGAAGCAAAAGTTTGTCGAAGTATTGCTCCCATCCATCGTAGAAGCGCTTGAAACCATCTGGGGAGAAACGAATAGAGGTTGCGGTTGCAAAGTCTAAACGTCCAGAATCGAAAAGGTCAAGGAAAGTATCTTGAAGCACCTCTGTCCAGACTTTGAGGTTCCTGAAGTTAGATTCGGCTAGACCACCAATGACAGCATTGGCAATGTTTCCAATACCGGACTGAATAGGGAGCAGGTTCTTGGGAAGTCGGTCATGCTTCACTTCGTGCTCAAGGAATTCAATCAAATGAGCAGCAATTGCACGCGATGTAGCATCTTCTGGCGCGTTTGGTACAGTTTGATCTTGATAATCAGATTCGACGATGGCAACAATCTTCTCGCTATCGACAGGGATTGCGGTTGTTCCAATACGGTCCTCTGGTGCCATGATCAGGTATGGTTTTCGCTTTGGTGGAAGCTCGGTCATGGTGATATCGTGGAGACCCTCAAAAGAAGGCATAGAAGTGTTGACTTCAACAATGATTTTGTCCGCCATTTGGATCAATTCTGGTGATGCTCCAACGGAAGCTCCAGGAATAATACCGCCATCTTCGGTAATAGCTGTAGCTTCAACAATAACCACATCCAGCTTTTTGTTGGGACGATCTTTTGTGTAAAATCCATAAACCAAGTCTACAGGAAACATAGACAGATGTTTGTCGAAGAAATTGATGTTGCCGTTGTTAATGCCCTTTGCAATAGCCTTTCCGACCTGATGAGGGCTTCGGCGTTCGATCATATTCAATTCTGCCCATCGATTTTCCGTTTCCGCTCCAGAACTTGCACCTACGAAAAGGGAGTACTTAAGCTTGCCCTGCAAGTTGTTCTTCTCTACGTGATCTGCGAGCATTGTTGGGATCTTCCTACACGGTTTGGATCAGTATTGGTTTCCCGCTGAATCAATCATATGCTATCATTTGACCCCTCTCTTGCTAAGCACCTCGATACAACTGCAATTGTTACTTACTTAGGATATCCGACACCCGTGAACCCAGACCACCCAATGTAAGCTCCATTGGGGAATAAAGGGATCAAATCTTGAGGATGAGCAAGCTTCTTAAGCAAAGATGGCCTCCTAACTCGAGATTTCAATGCAGCAGAAGCTGTCAAAGCTGCCGCAGATGCCATCTTGAGAAGATTGAGCTATAGCGACGGTATAGACAAAAACAAAGCGAAAAAGAAAACAAGAGAGGAGATGAGATTCAGAAAATGAGGATTGGAGGTGGGAGATATCTACGTATTTAATAAACCATCGTATGATCTGTTTACTTCGGCAAGCATAGTCAAATTGTAAAGCTCAACCGGGTTCGCTGGGACGACGGCGCCCCGCAACGATCGGTTACAAGGAGATATTTCACTCCGTCATCGCAATAATTCGGTTATTCGGTAACATATCAAACACACTGACACAGTACTCGTACTGCTACAGTGCAACTCTATTTGAGAGTCATGAAAACTAAAGGAATTATCTTTTATTGGTGGAGAAGGTTGGAATTATGGAATTCTTATTAACAGATATCAATACCATAACTGTGTGTAATGACATTATCAAATTACGTTAAAGAAAGTCTACTTGGCTGGTCCAGCAACTAAACAAATACCCTTTGCCAGTACCTAGTAGTCAGTCAGTCTCACTCAATTAAGATCATGCCGTTCAATGCTAGTTTCATTGCACATCAAATTCAAGCCTTCATTTGAAGAATCATTATACGTTCATTTCATTGACTTCATTCTCTATACAAGTAGTTCAACGACGCCTTTGCTCCATATCCTCCTGTCTCGGAGGAGCCATATTCATGGCTTCTCTTGCTGCCCTTAACGCAGTCTGGTTTATTTTCAACTCTACACTATAGTCTCCAAATGCATCAACTAGCTCTCGAAGTCCGCTTTTGAGGACGGCGAGGAGCAGATCAACCTCGGGACTCTCCTGTCTCCCTTCGACGTCGGTCCAATGAGCCCCCAATCCGGTCCTAAAATCTTGCACTTGGATAATCGTCTTTGTATATGTCGCCACGATATCCTTGATGTCCTTCTGTACTTTTCCATATTTATCCTCAACAAGACTACACACAGCAAACCTGGTGATCGAGTCGATAGCATCAATGATGATACCTAAATCGCCATGTGGTGTTCCTAGTACCACGCTTGCAATCTCCTTTCGATATTCCTGCCTGAATGGTTTTCCGAACGGCAGCTTAAGGATTATGATCGCCTGCTCCCGTAAAATGTTCTGAAGTCCTTCGGGCTGTTGGAATTTTGTAGGAAGTGCGGCTTTGATTGCTGCACTCTTCGTGTCGTCCTTCAACTGGCGGCGACGAGACATCTTATCAGGCGGTGATAATTCTCCCTGGCTCTTTGCAAATGAGCCTACAGCTTCTAAATAACGCCTGCTTCTTGACTCTGCTGGTTCTGATTTCTCAACGAGACCGCCCCTTGGTTCATCCTTGAGCGATTCGGTTAATAAACGAGGAAGCGATGATATTGTTTCTGGGGTTTCCTGCTCCTCGTACACATTGATCACGGGCGCTTGTTTTTTGGGATCATATTCCTCGATACGCTGGTTGATTTCATTAACGGTTTCAAGGCATGTCACAAGGATTTGAGACCAAGCTGAACCGCCAACGCGGTCAATGTCTTCAAAGATGGCTTTCCGCCTTCCTTGGTATCGCTGAGCAATTTCTACGAGTTCCCAAAATGCGAACGCCTGCATGGTATTAGTACAATCTAGTAGGAACTGTAGGGAGGAACTTACTCTTGTTTGCAACTTCTTACCCTTTAATCCAGTTAACAAGCTTCCATTTGGATCTCGAGATTCATAGGTAATTGGTCTGTCGTTCTTCAATGGCGCTTGCGCTACGTAAATAGAGAAAGCAAGATTTCCAAATTCCCACAATAGCGTAAGCATGAGCCCGGCAATGATTGTCCTAAGAACCATGGTCCAGTGAAAGGGTAACTCATTCGGAGGAGTGGCAGCCTTGGGCAAATTCCAGAAAATCTTTGCAAACGACCGAGTAAACCCCCAAACGCTCTCTCTAATATTGAAAGTGTAAATCGGCAAGATAAATGGGATGGGCAGGCTGATGTTCATAGAATAGATAAATGGAGATACCACTGCCATTATAGAAACCCGCTTAAGACACTGAATGACTAGAGGCATTGCTTTCGCTCTCAATTGTATCATAGGCAATACGGTTGTGTGCGAAGGTTGCTCAGATGAAACTTCTGGCCCGGTCTTCGTAAGTGGAATGTCGATGCGATCATAGTCGTACCAAAGGTGGAATCCGGCTTGGACGAGAGCATTAAATAGAAGGAAGACGGTCAGGTATATAGGTTTCTCGTTCAATATCGGTCGACTCGTTTTTGCTGCAAGCTTGATGCGATTAAGACCTGCGCTCTCAGAAACCGACCAAACGTATATCTCGCTGAAAAACCACGCTGAAAAGAGATACCAAAGTGCTGTCTGAACCGTCTGATATTTGGGCGCATATTGTGTAAAGGTGTGGAAGCTCGAGTTTGAGGTTCTGATTCCTACGTGTAATTGAGCTACTCGAAGGATGAATATCATAAATGCGCAGATGAAGAATAGACCGGTTCGGATACCAGCTCTACCTAAAGGAAACCATGACCAAAGGACTGTGAGACTTGATTAGCATTGCGTATTGAGAGTTGTGGAGCTGGAGAAGACCTACATGAATTCCATTCCCCAATCCATACCGCTTCGACGTAACATACTGCTGCTAAGACAGCGGTTGCCAATGCAAATCTTCTGTGCAAGGCTGGAGTTAAAAAGTCCTTATAAGGACGGATCCTTACTGCGGGTGGCATTGGTGGAAATTTTGTGAAGATGTTGCGTCTGAAAAGACTAAAACATCAATAGAAGAAACTGGAATCTATGAAAGGTTATTGATCATGTTGTCGTTGTTGGAAAATTAAATAAAGATAGCAATACACGGAAATGCTTTTGTTGACATTCAGTTTTCTAGATGAAATAAATTTAGAGTTGGTTGACGCGAAAGGCACTTGGGCATTTTGGTGGGTGACCCGCCCTAGGTTGGTAGGTTGGTAGGTAAGGTACAGACCACACAGTGCAGTACGTCAGCCAACCTAGGATATCACACATCAAACATCACTCACCCACCCATCGTTCCAGATTATCACAACTTCCGTGGGCGAAATAGGCAGCGAGCGAATTTGTACATAAAAATTATACAAAATCTACACTCATTTGAAAGCATCTCAAATCATCAATAATAAACAAATCATGTCCTTCGATCAGTTATCATCGTTAGAGTCGCAACCGACGACAATGCGAAGAGAGGATGATCCTCAATATGCGGACGATCCGGAATTCCAAAGATTATCGCAAGACCTTATGACAAAGCTCTTCTCATTGACAGGAAATATCTCAAGGCTTTCAAATGAAATAAACCTATTGGGAACGAAGAGGGACACAGAGAGGGTTCGGGAAAGAGTTCACGACCTCTTGGAAGACTCAAAGGATGCCTTCAAAGAGATTGGCGATGGCGTCAAGAAGATACAATCATGGGAGGATGTAAATGTAAGCAACAAGATGTCCTGTATGATGTCGATGGGGTATTGATAGTCCATGATAGCCATCGCAAAAATATACTCAAACAAAACTTACGCGCGAGTTCCAAAACAACTTGACCGAATTCCAAAATGTACAGCGCCGAGCTCTCGAGAAACAACGATCCTCTGCTACTGCAGCACGAACGGCAATGGAAGAAGCGCAATCACCAGGAGTTGAGAGTGGCAATCAGTTTGGGCAGCAACAATCCCAAGAGCAGCTTAGATTGGCTTCGCAGGATGAGGTTGATTTTCAAGATTCGTTGATAGTAGAGCGTGAGGCCGAGATCCGGAACATCGAACAAGGCGTCACTGAATTGAACGAGTTATTTCGAGATGTGGCACATATTGTCAACGAGCAAGGCGAGACTCTTGATTCGATTGCCAACAATGTCGAGAACGTACACACAGATACAAGAGGGGCTGATCTGGAATTGAGGAGCGCCGCTAGATATCAAAAGAATGCTCGGTCAAAGGCGTGCTGTTTACTATTGATATTGGCGGTCATCCTCACTATTATTATACTCGCAGCCACCTTAGGGTAGGCGCATTTCTTTGGAACGGTTCTATGTGTTAATATCCTTGGGGGAGTTTTGGCGTTTTCCCATGGCATCCTGCTTCATGTCTTCACACTTTCATTGTCGTCTGTACGATTGCCGGTCAGAATGTTTTTAGAACGATTTCAATGAAGAATGAGAGGGTGATAGGATTAGGAATTTTGTCACAGTCCTGTTGTCACCTTTGAAACTAATATACGATTATTAAAATCCTCTGCATCTTCGTTGTTCGTCTGTGAGTGATTGGCTATGTTTGTCGATTGCCCTAATGATTTATATTCCCAATGATGGCGGCTAAGATTAAGGAGAATCAGCGGCAAAAGCAAACTACATTAGTCCTAGCTAACAAGTGATTTTATCGGAAGATACGATTGATTGATTATAGTGTACATAGGTAGGTAGTTGACATTGCTTGTTTTGTTCTCCTTGGGAACCAATTCTCTTCGCATCAGAACTCATGATAGCCTGACATCATCACAAGGCTTCGTCTGTCACCCAAGCGCGTTCTCCATACATTGGAAGATTCGCGTTGCGTTGTGAAGAAAAAAAAAATACCAACATATTATCACATTAATACATATACTCATACTCGTACTCATACACTCAAATTCCAGTATGGGTATTGAATTGGACCAAGCTAGTCTACAAAAGGCTTTCCAATCTCGTCCAGATATACAGAGCGCCATAGCGGCAGCATCACAAGGTAAAGTACATATCTCTCAGCCTTGCAAGGAAAATAAATATATATATAAAGTCAATAATGAGCCGACAGCTTTGGATGAATTGATATCTATAATATCTCAACTAACCTCTAAACATAGTTGGTCCAGAATACATCGAGCTATTCAATCAAATTTCCTTACATGTCTGCGAGACAATAACTCAGCAAGCATCAGAACCGGCTTCAAAGAAACGTCGCATAGATGAGAGCCTCGCAAGTCGAAGTATCCCGAATAGCACAAATGGCACATCAAACAGCGTTGGGAGTACGCCCGCTACTGGAGAAGATCCAGTCTTGCTTGAGATAAAAGAAATCTCAGTGGTGATACCACAGCGCAAGAAATATACCCTCTGTTTCACATCAACACATCTCTATGCACGATTGCCGACCTCTGAAGAACCTGCGTCTGGCATGAGCTATACCTGGAAGGATATTGGTACTTCTCATTCTCTTTCATTACCGGAACTTTGCTGACTGGTACCATAGAATATATATTTTGCCTCCCAGTCCCAGAGAAAACGCAAAAACAATACAATTACATACTCTTCCCCAAGAACTCTATTATATCACCCTCCAAACCTTCATCAACTGCACAGCCCTTACCTGAACCATTAGTTTTCACCATCAACGATGGAGTGCCAAAATCAGGAACTATTGCGGGAACGGATAGTTCAGCAGCTTCAGCTGTCTCTGATGACTACAAAACACTTTTTAACTGGGCTATTACCGCCCGGTTGAAGGACGTCGGTAATGTCCTCAAGATCACTGAATCAGACCCTAAGCTATTTGCGAGTGCAGTCAAGCAAAGTCATCGACCAAGCGAGAAAGCAGTGCATGTTAAAGCATTCAGAGGATCTAAAGACGGATACTTGTTTTTTCTGCCTACTGGAATCCTCTGGGGATATAAAAAGCCATTATTATTCTTACCACATAACCGCATTGCTGCACTATCTTTCACAAATGTCTTACAGCGTACCTTTAATCTTTCACTCGACATTGATATGTCAGTCTCAGGCGGCGAAGACACTACCGAGGAAATGGAATTTCAAATGATAGATCAAGAAGATTTCGCTGGCATAAACGAGTATGTACAGAGATATGGATTGCAAGATAAGAGTATGGCCGAACAGCGTAAGGCCAAGCGATTGAATGTGAATGTGATGAAGGATGAAGAAGGAAACGTTGTAGGAAATGCGGAAGCGGGAGAGTTAGAAAGGGCAGCGCAAGAAGCGGAACAGGCAGCGATGGACGAGGAAGATGAGGACGAGGAAGATTATGATCCAGGGAGCGAGGGTGAAAGCGAAGGGAGTGGCACAAGCGATAGTGAAGAGGATGATGATGACAATGGGGAGGGTGGAGGTGCTGGGGATGATGAGGATGATGAGGATGATGAAGGTGGGGAGGAGGAAGAGTTGTAGGAATGAAATGGCTCATGTTTTGTCATCTAAACTGTGATCGGTGCTGAGTTTCTGGTAATACATGCCTTTTCAGAGCTTCAGTTGGACATATGGCAATTCGGGGGTGCTAAATAGCCTTTGTATGAGTATATGAGTAGCATCAAGGGTCAGAGTTGCATCAATCTAACTCGTGGAATAAGTGCGCTCTTTCATCTTGAATCTCAGCGATACTTTATGGAGTCTCGGTGTCAACATAGCCCTACTAACATTACTATGTCGCCTGAAATGATCAAGGAGATTCACACTTTCAAATTGATTGTAAGTTCCATCATTCTATAATCTTGTCACTTATCGGCCCTGGCATCAAGAAGCTCCTCACATACATGTTGCGATACAAGTTTGTTCCTTGCTCTATCATGGACCCATCTCAATCCTTCGTTGCTCTTCTCTCCTTGTGTATAAAATAAACCCAAGTGTTGGGAGCTTCGCGAAGGGTCTTCCTCCACCAGCACGAGAAAAAACGGCAGTGAGTCATTCGCGCTGTTTGTGCAGTCATTTGGCAGTTGCGCTTGTTTTGGAAATGGCCCAGCTGCTTCTTCCTTGTTTTGACGGGCTTTCGTATGTGTACATGTTATTGATATTGAAACGGGGGCCAAAAGACTTTTGCTGTCCAGATCAGATTGTTATAATGTAGACACTGATCTGGATGATGCATTTTAGTGCATATTTCCAGTATGTCTTACGCTAACTACTATAGATCCCTCCCTTCTGGTAGTAAGTATGTTTACTGCATCCATCATACTTACTCAATACATTGAGTTGACTTGATCTCACAATGGCATCATTCTGTCGTCTTATTCGAGTCAATCACAGATACAAAGCTCATACCGGGGTTCTTTGAATTTCTAAGGGGAGGTGTGTTCGTATCCCAGCAGGACCAACATCATACAACTCCATTATTTTTACTGGCATGATCAAATTTGCTGACGGTCTGCATCATCCACGTAGAGCCCGGTGCACACAATGATCCAGTGGGAATAGACTGGAACTGATCAATTGTCTCTCCACGAATGTCCGTCATCATCCCATTGCCTGGATCATTAAAGCATCAGGGCCAACTGGGTAGCGAAACTCACCTCGACTAACTCATCCCATGCACTTGCATTGGAGCCATCATCCCAGTAAGAAGCCTTCATCTTCGATTGTCTCACACGTGCATCTACTTTATTCAAATGGTCTGCTCATCAACAACTTCCTCATAATTTTCATTATGTACTTGTAGTCTATTCACAAATAAAAGTCCACAGAGTATCTATCCATGACACATCCACCCCCACTGCCAAACCCACCGATATGAAAAATCTTCCCCTTACGCCATCATGCAGCTTCAACCTTAAAAAGTTGGAATCTCGAACTACTGGGGACCCCACCGCCATCGACATCCAGCCCCAACGCCGAAACATATATAATCACTCAAGAAGAAAATAATAATGAAAACTCTTCACTCGATCGAATTTTCAGAAGATTCCGCCACTAAGAGTACTCCCCATATGCAGTAGAAATTCGACCGGTCGATTCCGCCTGGAACGAAGAAAATTGAGCAGGGAATATACTCAACAGGGATTTTGCGCATAAGAACCTTCCGCATGTCGTTGGATTCGGATACGCACACCGAGAGACCTTGCTATCGGGATCCAGTACCGAGACATTTTGTATGGATGGGTTCCCAAACTACTTCGATCTACATCAAGAACGACGTCGTTGAGAAGCATGTTTAGAACGGGCGAGAACCAGTTGTTGGGATGCTTCGGTGCTTATACTACTTTTGGTCTTTCCTCCACCTTGACTAGAACTGGGATGAATCAGGCTTGGTGCTTGAAAGCACATGTGTCATGTAGCCCTTGAAATAAACCTGCAAAGCACGTTGGCGTGGGGGGGGAGCTCGACTTGCAGTTCCTAATGCTCAATTGTTGATGCATGAGCACGAGAAGCATGAGGTGACCCCAAAAGAAAGCTTCAAAACCCAACAATCGGTATACATAAAACCATTAATACTAGGATGTTCGTAAACCCCCAATTCTAGACCTCTGTACCTGCATAAACTTACATCGTGGTTCTAATTCTTGTCTCCTGCATATTGAAATCTCGCAACTCGATTGGAAAGTACATTGTATCGTATGATTCTAATCCGTGATTATACGATACAAGAAAAAGACCCTTCTCGGGTAAAATGAAGGAGCTGAATGAAGGGTGGAAAGGCTTCAGTGTCGTATTTTTGTGTATCGGATGTATTCCTGTGCATAAGGGCTTGGTTCGCAACATTTGAAGGATTCGTTTGTGAAGTTGTCTTGAGGCAAGCCAAGAAATGTTATAAATCTATATCTCCGAATATGCGTGTTGTTGTAGATAATGAATTTGGATATGTGGATGAAACATGGAATGATATCTCAAAAGGTCGTGCTTTGTCTGTACACTGGCGTCTGTATGCAATGTACAGTGTACAGTATATTGCAGACGTAACAATACTTGCCTGAGATGTTAACGAATGGTCTTCAATATTGTAATTGGGTGGTGACAAAACGAACAAAATTTTCACGGGCAAAGTTGTAACCCAAATGTACTCGTACGTGAATTTAAGTCATGCGACTTTCAAGAGTTTATCTACTGTACCTTCTCGTGCAATAAGTATTATCGGACGAAAGACCTCGAGAACTAGCATGCAAGAAGTCACTTGCCAATTCAATATTATACTCGACTTTGTTCCCTATCAAAATCACATCACAACATCTACCTACCACACTATAACGCCCACGACATGTCGTGCCTTTACTTTGAAAATCAAAAATAGGCACGGGAAATCAATCGCCCTCACTCAATGGGTTCTCAGAATAGAAAACTGGCAAGCTGCAGTATCACCTCCACCAATTCAAGACCCCGAAACGCCATCATCGTCGGACTCGGACGTATTGATAAACTTACAGTATACACCACAGCAGCGAGATCAACGTCCCCGAAAGCACTCGTGTATGTACGTATGCATGTATACTCCTACCTGCAAGCCAACGGGTCGAGTACATGAGGTTTGATATGATGCATGGTATGCAAATTTCGAGTACCTCACAATACATGAATATACCAAATCTCGTGTGAAGAGGCCCAACGTTTCAAAGCATGATACTGTATTGACGGTACGGGTACGTGAGGTGTACATAGCAACATGACCAGCTTCGATCATCACGACATATCATTTCCTTGGTACCACTCGTGAAGCCCTACGGCGATAATAACCGCTTTCTCATACCACGGATGATAGGACCATGGGTACATAGAAACGGACGTTCAGGGAAATGTACTCGAGCCGTTCAGTCAGTCCGTCCAATCCCAGATCAACAAGTTACTACAAGCCTTATGGCAATTCACAATACCGGCTTGCGCATTGGCTCATGCGTGCACTCTCATCTGATTAGGGCTCGAGTTGACTGAGTTGTATTCCAGAGGCGGGAATGACGTGAGATTAGAGTCAATGAGCATGGACGAGGCTTGTCCCTTGAAGAATCCTTCCCTTCTCCAGCCCGCATCTGCAGATAAGTTTAAGTGGCGAGATCAGATAGGCTTTTGAAGAGTAGGTGGTAACCACAAAACTCGTGCCTAATTTCCTTTCCTGCCCCCCTTCAACGTGTAACTTCCTGGACGTAGCATTGTACATACTACATGATAGCCTATCGTACCCCATCCCTTCAAATGAAGTTCTCCTCTGTATTGTAAACACTACCTACCATCTAACATCCTTGAAAACTCATCCTCTTAAAACCTTACTTTACCAAACCTTACCAGTAGCACTCCCAAACTATAAACTAAGAGCCCCAATTAGAACTTTCCCATATGTTCACTGTTAGTATGTATAAAGTGTTGTAGTAATTAGACCCCCAAACCTTTCCCAAAAACGTGGGGACGCAGACAAATAGAGATACACCGATTACACCGATCACATCAACAGCGTCATAGCAACATACACACAGCATGCACACCTCCAGCTCCAGACCAAGTGCAGCGTCGATCCCCTAAATGGGAAAGAGGAAAAGATAGTCGCCTCAGAATAAGAAGTTGTTTCGAGCGGTGGAGGCTATCCGTTCCTTTTGAGTTATCTACTCGGTAGTGTCTGCTAACTATAATTGTATTGGCTTGTTTCAACCTTCGCTGCCCAGAACTGCAGGTACACTTTTTTTGAGCCCTGGCTACGCACTCACTTCCTTGCATGTCCAGATTCCAGCTATACTTCTCTAATCAGAAGTCCATGCATTGCTGTCCGTAGAATACCAAAGAAGCTACGAGGATCTCACTAGGTGCTTGAAAATTTTCTTATGTTGAGTTTGCAACACATTGTTAAATCCCGCCCCGGTTGGTGCTTCTTTCAAATCTAGTTGCCTTTTACAATCGGAAAATAATACCCGATCCGATATGATATCACTTAAAGTTACAGGGCAACAAAAGGACGGTTTCAAGAAACTTCCTAGATACATTTTGCTTTGTGTTATTAGTCGGTCGAGCTTGAGGTCTGTTAACGGGTCTCGAGCGTGTACATGCTCATGCCTTTAAAATATGATGAAATCACAGAGCGTTGTTGGTGAAGCTAGAAAGCCATTTCAGAAAAGCCGCAGCGTTGAATTCTCCAAAAGAAAATTGTAGGAAAAATATATAGATTCTGAAAAGAAATCCGAAAGTTAGATCGCGCTGAGAGGTCATAATTACTAGAGAGTATTCGTCATGTGATTATCATCACACCAATCGAAATAAAGGGCCAATGTATTGCTTGGATAAAATGTTTTTTTCCATTTTTTTTTCAGCGGTAGGGTATCTAGAACTAATATTCAAAAATCCTCCATCCATATTGATTACCACCTCATTTGTTCAATCCGGTCATTGGCTGGCTAGCTTTGCGCTTTTCCACATTGAAATCTTCGTTGAAAAGATAATTTCAAGGATAGCCGCCATTGCGTTGTGTTGCAAAATATTCCTCCCATTGAATATCACTGCTTATCCACTTCCATTGCCCTCCCATCCCTGGTTTCACAAGATCGTCCTTGTCCTTCCCACCACACCACCCTTTGATCAACTGTCTATTCTGTCCCATCCCCCCCCTCTTGGTATCTTGCCCTTTACCTGCTACCGGTATATTACAAGAAATGCGCACAGGTGTTTGCTGTCCCATTAATCGCCCTCTTAGGGGACTTTTGCCTAATCCCATCCGATCCGATAATCCAAGCTCCTGTTCATCCCCCTTAGCCAAGCCAGTCTAGACCCAGCTCCAATCCCAGTGAAATTTTTTGCGCTCCAGCTCCATCGCTTCACGTGAAAACACAAATAACAAAGGAAATAGACGCATGAAAAGAAATCATCCATAGTATTAGTATGGATGATATCGAATAAAAAAGTAGACAATACACAACAACAACAATGCTGAATAAAAAAAAGGATAGTAGAGATCTCAGATCTCAAGTTGGTATTTTTTCATAGTTGCTTGCTAAGGAGTGTTTGGGTATAATAAAAATTCGTTTCGTTCGTAAAGTCGTTAAATAGATATGGCGGGATGGTACAACCATCAACCAACCAGAAGTAAAAACAGGAATAAGAATGATGGCTCGTGAGGGCCAGAAGCTTCTAAAAGATGCTTTGTCTCAATGGTATTCAAGGTTTCCCTAATCCCACAGGAAATTTATCGGTGAGAAATCGGAGAAGCTTGGCTTTCTTGCTGGGGTTTCGTCGAAGTTGTGCGGCAGCTTGAACCATTGGTCCAACAATATCTTCGTCGCCAAGCTGAGGGAATTTGCCTTCGCTGCGTGGATCGTTGAGTGACGGAATTTTGGTCATAACGTTGCTTGAAGAAGAGTTGCCAAGTGTGTTATGTTTCAAAGTAGCGAAAGCGTCTGTGGAGCTCTGAGCTGTGGTCGCAATTGTGAGTTCGTTGTTCTTCA